ATGAAAATCTTAAATGACAGTGTTTTCAAGCTAGACCCCCTGAAGAAAATGGCAGTGTACTATAATAATCACACCGTGGACCAAAATATGCGATGTGAATGAGCTTTATGCAACACCAACGCCAATAGTTCAGAAAGTACTTTCCGATTACTATAAACTTCAATAAAAAAAAAAAATACTATACTATAATCATCCGAAAATCTCAGTGCTCATGTAAACACTTCGAATTCACAAAATTGAATATAATAGTTTAGAAGCTCTTCTATAATCTTTTATTGAAATGGGGTTTAAAAATCTAATCGATCAATAAATCATACATTCATAGATATAAAATAATAATAAACTAATACTCGTTCCAAAAAAACATGTTTTTCTTTCCAAAGTGTTTCAAAAGTGAAAATTCTAGACAAACTTGTTATGTTCGTTAACAAGTTTAGTTTTAAAAATAGAAAACTAAAAAGAAATTAGCTTAATTATCTACCAAATTCTAGTTTCAACTATTCCTTTTATCTAAGGTCCCTGAGAAAGAATATTACTCAAATGCTACCCTTGGATCCAAGGACTACAAGATACTCGAGACGATTATCGATTAACTATACTCTTGCTTCGAAAATAATGACCCAACAAATTCAGAGTACCTGTACTTATAGGGTCCACTGAAAGTACCTCCTTCAAAAAATAATCTTCGTGAGCTCCGCGGACATTTTCAGGTTGGAAAGCTGCGGTCAAAGTGTATGTCAAAGTCTAGATCATTGTTCATCATACATACTACACAGTCTACTTTACTCCAGACTTTTTTTTTCAAAAAAAAAAAGAATACCGACTGTTCAGTGGTGCTTAAGTAAACAGTTACTGATCATTTTTTATAGAACGCTACGTTTACCATTTTCAGAGTTCGGCAATATATAAAACTGACCTTTATACCCTTACCCAAACAAGGTTTAGATCTCTCAAATTCACTCCCCCCATCCAATCGCTATCCTATGTATTAATATCAACTATTACGATATAATTTATATCAATCCACTTGTGGCACACTCCTAGATAAACTCAAATCTTCACCTACAGAACAAAAAATGGAAAAGAAAAGAAAAGAAAAGAAAAAAGATATGGTGCCTTATCCACTCTACGAACAAAATGGTGTCTGTCACAGTCCTATCGTGTCTAACAGTCCTTGTTATAAAATGACGGTTTCAGGTTCTAATTATACTTGGGTATAAAATGACGGTTCTAATTCTCCCATATTGAAACAATATCAGTCGCCTTACCATTATACTATATTGACGCCTCAATTTCTGTTCACTAGCAATGCATCACGTTCGACAAATCAGATTATTTGTTTCTACTTTCTCTAAGACTTCGCTACAGTCAACTCGTCTTTAATTAACTTTAGTACCTGAAATGGACCATAAAGCCAAATGCATCAATGGTTTCAATACATAAATAATGATCTCATTGGAAGTTTGAGTTATCTTAAAAGAGAGATGATTTGTAACCAACATCAATGGTAAACAAACCTAACAGTTTTTGGAGAGAAAATTACTGAGATGAGAAGTAAAAAAAAACCTTTCTAACCTTGGCACTAAAGAAAGGCTGTGAGGAAGACTACTTCTCGGCCTCACCACCGAGCACGAACCAATATGGTTCATTAGGTAACGACCGATGACAAGTGTGTTCCACTATGCAAACTGGCATTCGGTTCCTTCTACAAAAGAATGACTGGCATTCGGTTCCTTCTGACGCAATATCTACTATTTAAAAGTGTGAATAGATATGAAAATATTATTACTCAACGAAAAAATACAGATTCAAGAATGAGAAATAAAATTGGGATCAAAGGTACTTAATCTTAGTTGATATTCACAACCTTATAGGATAAATATAAACTAACTAAATCTAAATCTTGATAATAAAATAAAATATACTACTATTCAAATTTATTCAAATTTAAGTGGTTTCTAATATTTAAAATATATTTCCTAATTAATATATTCTTCAAGATTACGAATATCATATATTCCATAACTAATTCAAACTCGAAATAAATTGCACTAAATTCTGACCGCCTCCCTTAGTGCAAGCTTATTTCTTAATAACTCCGAGAGCTTTTACGAAAAACTTCAAACTTTACTTTGGCAAGTGCCTTAGTAAATATGTCTGCAACTTGCTCATTAGTATGTATTTCCTGCAATTCAACATCCTGCGTTAACACGTTCTCTCGAACAAAATAATCTACGAAGAATTTCTTCCAGCTAGGCTTGCATATGGACTTCTTAGGCACGCCACCACCTGAATAAGACACTGACACATCATGTTCATTGATTTCCTTCTTAATAAATTCTACATCACAGGATTCAATCCGGTAATCTTCTGAAAATATCTAATTTTGAGAGTATTTGACACTTCCGATCTTAAAACAATCTTCCCTCCAATGGTCTTAAACTTTGAGGCTTCCACAGCTATAAAAGCCCTTTCACCATTTGAGTCCACGTAAAGTCCACCCAAAATATACAAAGCATCTACATTGGCCAAGCTTCAAGTTGATTGCCTTCTGAAACACCTCAATTGCTTGCTCATCTTCCCCCATTGCATGCAAAGCGGAGGCCAAATCACAGTGAGCATCAGCATAATCTGATTTCATGAATATGGTTTCTTCCAAGGCTTTAACGGCAGGATCCAAATTACTGATATGACCCTCCAATGATTGAATCTGAGCTTTTGATTGCTCCAATTCTAATGACAAAGTGTAATAATTCATCTCAACTTGGGCAGACTCAGCATACTCCATACACTGGTGAATTACATCTCTGGCAGACTGCAAAAGGTCTTGATCTTCTGATCTTTTTTACCACTCAATATCTACGCAGGAGCTTTATATCCTTGGTCAAGGTCCAAGTCATCCTTACTATGATCACCAAGGGTGCTTGAGCTTCTGAGGAAGGTACTCATCTTCTTCAGCTACCCAACCATCATGCTCATCACAAGCACTGTCACCATTGTCACTAGATGCATAGTCCTGACTTAAGAGGGTGTCAAATAGATCATCCAAAAGCCGCCGAGTTCGTGGCTTATCAACATCATCTTCCACATGGTCAACGTCTGCATCCTCAAAAATGTCGTCGCCAAAAGATTTGTTATTAACAATATTCTAGCTTCCTGTCGCCTTCTCAGAATTCTTAGTCACACTAAACTTATTATCCATTGAACCATCCTCCCCTTCTTCACATAAATTTGTCTGAACTACAAAATCTTCCTTCAAGTCCTCAACATCAAAACAAATTGTGGTAAATCATCATCATCAAGCCGTGCCGCTATTTCTGGGTTAGGCTGGGGCTGAGCATCAGTAGCCGAATTCTGCAAATTGGTAGTTTGATCCAAATTCTCCCTGATGAGGAAATTATTATCCTCAGAGGGGAGGTAAAGACTGTCAAGATCGTCAAAGGTTAGTACTTCATTTTCGTCGAATCCCAAATCCAAAGCCGTGAAATAAATAGAAGGGTCATCAGGAGCAACAAAATTGGCATTGGAAAAAAAGAGAGTCCAGAGGCGAAATTTGGAGAGAATCAAATTCAGAAGTGTAAGTAGTGGAATTAGAATTTTGATCACCTGTAGAGACATCATCTTGATATACGGCTGAAGTCACGTTTGTTGGCTGATCAAGAACCTCAGTGATTAAGCAGTATTCCCAAATTGGATCTGAAGAATTTTTACTTTCATGTACCGCATTTGCTTCTAATTCCTCGATTTTGACTCGGCAATTTGGCTTAATATGGTCTGGCTTTCCACAACGATCACACACCACTTTCACCTGACAATCTCGTTTAAAATGGCCTGGTTTTCCACACCTGTAACAAGCTTTAAATGACTTATTTGACGACTCCTCACTTCTGAATTGATTCCCATTGCTAGATGAAGGCTTTGAATGAAAATTTTGTCTCCTTTGATCTTTGACGTACAACACATCTTTTGACTTTCGGGAAAACTCGTTGCTGCTAGTCATTTGGTTAATCAAGGCTTCCTGATTGGAAAGAAGATTCTCCAGTTCAATTACTGTAGGTTGATTTGTCCACCCTTGTATTGAGGAAACAAATGGCATAAACTCTTTCCGTAATCCACGAATAAGATAACGCCGTAATCGAGCATCACTCACTGGCTCCTCAGCATCTAATTCTGAAATTTGAGAACACAAATTCTTCACTTTCAAAAAATATTCTTCAACAGAAAAATTGCCTTGAGTTATCATAGCTAGTTCATTCTCTAGAAATTGCAGTCGAGCGGTATTTTTCTTAATGAACAACTTTTGAAGTGTATCCCATACTTGCTTTGGTGACTTTAAATCACGAACATGATCAATATACTCCTTGCTAATCAAAGTTCGCAAGGTAAATAAGGCTTTTCCACATTTGATCTTCCATTGTCGGCGTAATTCTGCATTCTGTGGAGTATCGGCTGGAATTTCTATGTCATCACCTTCAATTAAATCCCACAAATCTTGCCCTGGTAGATAAGCTTCCATGCATAACTTCAAATAACTATAGTTATTGCCAACCAACTTTTCCATAGCTATACTCATAGAAGCACTCCCACTATTCATCTCGTTGAGTAATAATATCAAACCGTACCAACTTGGCTCTGATACCAACTGACGCAATATCTAGCACTCAAGAGTGTGAATAGATATGAAAATATTAATACAGATCTAAGAATGAGAAATAAAATTGGGATCAAATGTTCTTAATCTTCATTGATATTCACAACCTTTCATAACCTTTAAATAGGATACAAGATACTAAATAATATCTACAAAAAAAAATATAAACTAAATAAATCTTGATAATAAAATAAAATATAATACTATTCAAATTTAACTGATTACGAATATTTAAAATATATTTTCTAACTAATATATTCTTCAAGATATTAAATGATTACGAATATCATATATTCTATAATTAATTCAAACTCGAAATAAGTTACACTAAATTCTGACACTTCTATCGGAAGGATGGCAGGGACTGAACCATAAATCACCGACCCATGGGCAGAGTACTCGGTTTTCCCGACTGGAACGGAAAGAAGAAAAAGGCATAACAATTTGAAAAGAGCATATTCCATTAATTTGAAGCCACGATTACAAGACCATGCTTATGAATGTCCCCCATCGCATTGAAAAAGATAAAAATAACCATCTGTAGTAAGCGCAGGAGTGTCAAACAAAGCATAGCTAAACCAACTAAGGCATATACTTTAGCCAAGACAATGTTTGAACTAAAAGGAAAGAAAAATGAGGTTATTATTTCACAAAGATAAAAGCGACCTAGCAGTACAAGAATATATTTATTCACAAGTATGCTAAAACCTATGAACAGTTCCATTCATTCGCATGTAAGCCATACCATAAGAATAGTGTACCTTTGGAATTGAGACTGGCTTAGTCAATCTCACCCAGGCTGCTTAACCGATATATTTCATCTTCAAGGCCAGAAAGGTGATTCAAAAGTTCTTTATGAAGTTCTCAGGAATCGACATGGCTTTCTTCCAACAGTGAGAGACACTGGTGCATAACATTTAATCGATTAGTTAGCAATTCCATTCCCTTACCGATTCCTTCAGGAAGCTTTCTTTTCCTGCTAGATAGTCCTTAAACGATCTCCATGCTCTTACATTCCCAAAATATCAAGCTATCCGTCAAGATATACAAGCATTTACTCATAAGAGTAATATATAACGACTTTTCAGAACTCAGTAGTAATAAATTAAGAATAAACAGATTAAAAAACTGCGTCAAAATTTAATTAGCTGCTAATTACGTGCAAATCTGAAAGGTAAATGCCATGGCAATGCCTCGTCTTCACATACCGTAAAAACACGCGACAATGAGAATCGCCAAAGAAAAAAAAAACATTAAAGATTAAAAGAAATCGCAGAGCGGATACGGTGAGGCTTTCGACCAATGAAATCAAGCCTGATTTACTTGATAAATTCAAATCCTCCAGTTTATTGAGCAGCTGAACACGATTCTCGACGGCGTGTAAAATATAATTGTACATCAATCAGTCACTGGAAGGAAGTATCTGCCGTTCACGAAATCTAATAGCAGAAATTCAACAACATTCGAGAGCAAATGCTGAAGGACTTAGTCCAGAAAATGAAGAAAAAATTATAGAACAAAAATGGATACCGATAAATCCTTGCGAATTCAACCACAGATTGCAAGTAGTAACAAACAATTGAAGCATGATCACAACCGAAACATTGCTAACAAAATAGAATTCGACTCAAAATCATTTTCCGAAAACCAGAAGAATGAAACTTCAAAGTGAGATGCAGTGTATTAAACAGAAATTACACCTGAAGACGAAATGGCATCGAGAATGCTCAGCAAATCGCCGCTTGACCCTCTTCCGTCCATCGCTCCACTTGCTCTTCCTCGCGCGCGTAATCCATCCGTTTGCGTATTCGAAGCTTTCCCGCCGTATGGGATGCGCGAAAAGTAAAGCCCGGTCCAGGAAGTTGATTTGGTATGACCCTTCAACTTTTCATTATTTTCATTTTTACCCCAAAATTATATTTTTTTATGTGGGCCGCCCCAACAGCCCAGACGATTTTTTCCACTTTTAGCCATGACTTTTTCCCTTTTTACTCCTGTAACATGCAAGTAAAATATAGTAAAATATAAATTTAATATATTATTATGATATATTTATTTTAAATTTTTTGGTCATAATATTTCACATATAAAAAAAATTGGGAATAGAATGAGATTTTTTCTTATTAGATAAATGAAGTCGGGACGGAAATACACCGTCCCGGCCCTATTTCTCATCCCGTCTCGCTTTCACTATTTTACCTATAAAATAAAAAAATTGATAAAATTTTCTGTAGAGATTTTTTCTTATTAGATAAATGAAGCCAGGACGAAAATACACCGTCCCGACCCTATTTCTCATCCCGTCTCGCTTCCACTATTTTACCTATAAAATTAAAAAATTGATAAAAATATTCGAGAAAAAATAACAACCAATTCCAGAATTTCGCAAAGATAAGAAATGAAATAAAGGTGAGGACGAGGATGGAGAAGGCCTGAGTAGTGGAAAGCATTGGTACATGAAGCAGCTTATTTATTAATATGTAGATTACATTACAGAGCTAATACTGCAACGCTCTTTACTGTCGAGATACACCTGATATACACAAAACGACACCAAGTTAGCGAGACGACAAGTCGTCTAGCAACGGACCAAAGGGTTCATCTGCGCCTAGCGACCTGACCCACCACCTCTCCCCGATCCAGACCCAGACCCGGATCCCGTACCCGGACCACTACTCGATCCACCTCCGCCGCCTCCGCCTCCGCCACCACCACCTCCACCTCCGCCGCCTCTTCTGTTAATAGTTTCCATGCCGCCGCCGGCGTCGGCGCTGGGCTGCTGCTGAGCGAAGCTATTGCTTACGATCAAAACCAAAAAACAGAGGAAAACTCCTGGTCGAACCATGTGTGGATATGGATAGGGATAGACAGCATATGTTCGGTTTTATCGTTATTTATAGTGAGCATTTGGGAGATGAGATTTGGGAGTATGGCAGTTGTTGAAGTCTTGGCTCGACAAGGAGGCTCTGGACCGTTGATCTGGCTACCCATGTGGCGGCCTTTTGGCCATCCGATTTGACAACACAGCAAATATATATATATATATATATATATATATAATATTACTCGTTTCGCCTCTTTATGCATGTATATTAACACAAAATTAATTTATTATATATTTATTTATTTATTTACTTACTAAATAACAAATAAATAAATATTTCTTTTTATGTGCAAAAATCAAAACAGTGACCGAATTCCTACACCTCCAACACGACCACTACACGACAACACTTGTTTTTTTCGTGACAGCTTATGGGCGAACAGCGCCACTGACCGGACCGACGTCTCCACCGACACCAACGCTGCCGCCGCCCCCAATGCCACCAGCTCCACCAAGTCCATTCCCAGCTAGACCTCCAACGCCACCCAAGTTATTCGATTCCGGCGGCACCCCCTCAGCGTCGGCATCGCCTCCATCCCTGCGTACCTGTGTAAACCGTGAATAAAGATTACATTTATCCACCATTAATTTAGGTTCCCATGGATAATAATACTTTGTTTTGTGTTTTATTTTTTTCAAAATTAATTTCTTTTTGAAAAACCTGAACGAGAAAATAGGTCGAAAACAACGTCATAAACTAAAAACTAGACAACAACAGGTTTGATACCACATAATCTTAATAGGAAGAAGTGACAAATAGTCGTTGTTAGACGAACACGACTCCCCACAATGGTATGATATTGTCCACTTTGAGCATAAGCTCTCATGGCTTTGCTTTGGGCTTCCCAAAAGGCCTCATACCAATGGAGAATATATTCTTAGATTAATAAACCCATGACCATTCCCTAAATTAACCGATGTGGGACTTTCATCATCCAACAGTCGTATTCTTCTGTAATATATTTTGATACATTTTAATTTTAGTTCTGAACATGGTTTTTTGTGAATAGTAATATACCCAATATTGAGATAACAAAAAACATGCCTATTTAAGATAAAAGTATATAAAAGGGAGTTTGAAATGGACATGCGGCCATAAATAACACGTCCCATATAGAGTTGATTAGAATCTCACATTAAAAAGAAAAAAAGTTAAGAAGTTAAATGATTATATTTAGGAAACTCCACTATACAAATAAAAATAAACATTGGGTTTTAAAACAATAATTATCTTCAAATACCAAAATCAAGATGTAACTAAGAAAATGAGTGAAGAAATTAAAAAAAAAAAAAAAAAAATCATTTAGAATTTCACTTGAATCACATTTTGGGAATGGAGGAAGATGGGTAAATCAGTGAGGAAGAAGAGAGGCTGAAACCATCGCTTGTGGCACGAACACTTTCCATTCCCAGTTTAGAAGAGGATGTCATTGCTAACACCCCCTTTGGCCTCTTGTTTTCTTGACCATCAATACTCCCCCCTTCAACGAGTAGGTCGATCTTCGAGTCGGTTTCTTGCTTGATTTCTTTAAGCATGGCAGCGACATCTTTCATGTTCGGGCGCTCGTCTGGGGCGAAGTTCACACACAGCAATGCTATGCCTAAAACTTGCACCATTTCCTCTATCTCTGACTCTGACCTGGATAGAAGGGCTGCGTCTAGAACGCCCACTCCTTTGTTGTGTCTCACCCAATCAACTACATGTTGCCCTTCTGGTATTGTTGGATCAATTGGTTGCTTTCCGGTTAGGACTTCCAATACTACGACACCAAAGCTGTAAACATCGCTCTTTTCTGTGATCTTCATCATGTATCCATATTCTGAAAGGAAAAGAGAGTTGATTAAGGATGACTTTAATATCGAGTCAAAAACCAAGATATATTTGTGTAACTGTCCAAATCCAAGCCCACCGCTAGCAGATATTGTCCGCTTTGGCCCATTACATATCGTCGTCAGCCTCACGGTTTTAAAACGTGTCTCTACTAGGGTGAGGTTTCCACATCCTTATAAGGAATGTTTCATTTCCCTCTCCAACCGAGGTAGGATCTCCCAATCCACCCCTCCTTGGGGTCCAGCGTCCTCGTTGGCACACCGCTCGGTTTTTAGCTCCGATACCATTTATAACGGACAAAGTTCACCGCTAGTAGATATTGTCCACTTTGACCCGTTACATATCGCCGTCAACCTCAATTAAAAACGCGTCTATTAGGAAGAGGTTTTCACATCCTTCGAAGGAACGGTTTGTTCCCCTCTCCAATAAAGGTGGGATCTCATAGTTTATCATTATAGACAATAATGATGAGACGAAATGGGGGAAAAGAGAGAACAATAGACTATGCACGAGGGTTGGCTTGATCCAATAACATCTTTGATCTTGACACTTAAATGGATAGTTGTAAAGTTTCATGAAGTAAAGACTGGATATAGACATTACTTGATATGAAATAAAGATGATCAGAGAAAAAACTACAAGAACTGAAGGAAGAATGGCTTACCAGGAGCTATGTATCCATAAGAACCGGCGACTGTATTGGAGGAACGACCGAAATTACCTTCATCGACAAGCTTGGCAAGGCCAAAATCAGCAATGTAAGCCTCAAAATCCAGGCCAATGAGAATATTATTGGCCTTGATATCCCTGTGAACGATGGCAGGGACACAGTCATGGTGCAAGTAAGCAAGGCCTTGTGCTGCACCAAGCAAAATTTTGTACCTAAGTGCCCAGTCCAAGGCATCATCCCCTCCTCCTCTTTCATGGAGGAGGCTTCCCAAACTCCCATTAGGCATGTAATCATACATGAGCAACCTTGTGTTTTTGTTCCAACAACAACCCAGGAATCTAACAATGTTCTTATGACGGATCAAGCCTAAAGTTTTCACCTCCGTTGAGAAGGAATCCCGAACCCTTGTTTTGTCATCGGTATACTCATGGCTGGCAGTTGATATCGTTGGCCATAGCTTCTTCACCGCAATGATCTCGCCGTTACCGATATCAGCACGATAAACAACCCCAGAACATCCTTTTCCAATCACATTTGAATCTATGAGGCATCTTAGAACTTGATCCACAGAGAAATTTAGTTTCTGGAATGGTGTGAATTGCCAAGGCCATTTGTCCCCTAGCTCCGAATCATCATCATCAATTATGGTTCTTCTTGCTCTAACCACTGCTATAATCCCCATGATTATCAGAACAAATGTTAAAACAACGAGCAAGGCAATTACTATCATAAGTTTATGAGATAATTTCACGTTGTTTACATTCCTTGTTAGTCCTGATCCATCCATTAAGAAACATGAGTCCCTGATCGAAGAACAGAGCCTTTCATTGCCAGTCAGGTCCGTTGGTGCTAGCTGCCTGAAAAGCTTGTTGTCGGGAAGATAACCACTGAAGTTATTGTAAGAGATATTAAGAGAGACCAGATTACTCAGCCCTGCAAGCGGTTTCAAGTCCCCCTCGAGCTTGTTTCTTGACAGATCAAGAACTGAAAGCTTAGTAAGTGCAGATATCTGAGGTGGGATTGGCCCATAGAGGTCATTGTTGCTGAGATTAAGAGCAATTTCAAGAGCATCAAGCCGTCCCAGCTCCACTGGAATGTTGCCTGTAAAATGGTTACTACTAAGATCGAGCCGTTGCAAACCTGAACATAGCCCGAGAGATGCCGGTATCGATCCCGAGAATAAGTTTGCTCTCAAAGCAAGCTTATTTAAAGAAACAAGACTCCCGAAACTCCCCGGGAGCTGACCCGAAAATCGATTTGATGAAACATCTAAGACCTGAAGCTCAGACAAAGATGCCAAAGAGCTAGGCAAGGGACCTTCTAAAGCATTATAGCTCAAATCTATCATCTGCAACTCTTTGCAATTGCCAATCTCATCAGGCAATCGACCGGAGATTCGATTCACTGAGAGATCAAGAAAGTCTAAACTACTCATCCTGCCAATTGTTCTCGGAATCCCACCGGTAATCCGGTTGTTTCCAAGCCGCAGCCGCACGAGCGAGCTGCCATTACCAATTTCGGGTGGGATCGAACCAGATATATCATTGGAAATCAACAGAAGTTTTGTGAGATTATGAAGCTGAAACAATCCAGAAGGAATAGCACCTGTGAGTGAGTTATGAGACAAATCAATAGCTTCAAGATTACTACACCCCTCTAAACTTTCAGGAATGCTTCCTTCAAGCTGGTTCTGCCATGCCAACAAGACAGTAAGCTTTGACAAAGCCCCAAGCTCTGGTGGAATCAACCCAGAAATTTGATTGTTATCAAATTGCAGCTGCAACAAATTCTTGGCATTTGAAAGACTAGCAGGGATCGAACCAGAGACATTGTTATCACTAATCATAAAATCCTCTAGTTCTGTAAGTCCTCCTAAAGTTGAAGGTAAAGTTCCGGACAGGTAATTCAAAGAGAAATCAATTCTTCTCAAACTGCTACAGTTACCAACCTCTTTGGGGATTGCCCCAACAAGATTGTTCTGCCATAAGAACAATTGCTCAAGTTTTTTAAGCTCCCCTATCTGTGGAGGGATCGAACCAGAGAGACTATTTTCGTAAAGAAACAAATCCACAAGCTCAGAACAGTTACCTAAATCGGAAGGGATTTCGCCGGAGAGCAAAGTCGTGTAAATCGACAATGTTTGAAGCTTCTGAAGCCTTCCAAGAGACGACGGTAACCGGCCGGAAATCCGAGTATCGGCCAGTCCTAACAATGTCAGTTTACTGCAGTTTCCAATCTCCGGTGGAATCTCTCCGGTGATTTCTTTGTTACCTCCCGCTCGAAGAACTTCGAGATTTCCCAATTTTCCGAAGTCCAGTGGCAAAAATCCAGACAGTAAGTTATCAAAAACGAAGAGATTCTTGAGACTAGAGCAAAGCCCTAACTCCGCCGGAATGCTCCCCGTCAACTGGTTTCCGTTCAAAATCAAGTCCTCTAACTTCCGGAGATTTCCAATACTTCCGGGAATAGAACCGGCAAGATTATTGGAGCTCAAGTCGAGAATCTTAAGTTCCGTGCAGTTTCCAATATCATCGGGGATTTTCCCGGTGACATTGGCGCCGGAGATAACAAGCTTCTGAAGAAATCGAAACGAAGAGAGATTCGAAGGCAGAGGAAGCCGAAGAGGAACAAACTGAATATTAATTTCAGTAACAAAACCTTGAGAGGAGCAAGAAATGGAGGTCCATTTACACGGATTAGGATCAAGAACGTTCCAATCGGAGAAATGAGAACTACTACCAGAACTTCGAAGCCATGAAAACAACAGAGAGCCTTCGCCATTGGTAGCAGAGACATAAGAAACGCATTGAAGAACAGAGAAGAACAAAAACAAGAACAAGAAGAAGAGGTAACGTTGTCTCGAAGATGGCATCGACGACATTTGCATCAATTTCCAAACCCTTCTTCTCGGGCTCGTATCATTGATATTGCAGCCTCTTTCCGTTTCTCTCGAAGAACTATCAATGGCGATCAATCAAAACCGAAACCAATAAAATAAAGATTAACGAGCACTATCTTGAGACTATCAAAACCAAACCCACTACCCACGCCGCGCTTTGGATGCTTGTTTTCGGTTTTTCTCTCTCTAGGGCAGAGAGAGAGAATTGAATATTGAAAAACTGGGCACGAAAAGAGAGGAGGGAGATGAACTGCTTGGAGTTGCAGTGGTGAAGAAGATAGCCGACGCCCGCCATTGTTGCTTCTTATTTGCTTGCTCGTTTCGCTCCAGAAACCAAAATTATATCTAAAAATTATTTATTTTTAAAATTTTAATTTGATAAAATTCTATTTTACACAAAATATCCACATTTTTTAAATTTTATAGAAATACTAAAATTGTAAAATGAATTATAATAAATAATTTACATTGCCATTTCCCTAGGTTTGCATGATTTAAATAAATGTACTAATTATGAGAGTCGCAATCTGAGCCGTTGGATTTAACGAGCAAAAATGATCAGATGGTCCAAATTCGTGCATGCATAATTGATGCATCAGAAAGGCGGGAAAATTAAGAATCCGTTTATAAACACTAGGCGACGTTGATGTTGAGTAGATTCTTGAATTGTAATGCAAGTTTGTTAAATTCCATTTCTACCCCCAACAAATAATAATAATAATAATTCAGCAAATTTAAATATTATTTTGACTTACTCTACTTCTAGTTTTTGTTGGTTATTTTATCTTTCAAATCTTTATTCTTAATTTTTTCAACTTTTGTTTATTTTAATAAATATGTTCTTAAAAGGTCCACTTTAATGAACATTTTATTGCATCTCCTCGATAATTCTCTTGTCAGATATAGTCTCAGTTCATTAATGTACAATTTTTACTCGGGTATCACTTGCCCACTAGCTTCGCCCATAGATTTTCATGTTGGTTCGTCCTCGAATCACGTCTTACTAGGAGATGCATTGCTCTAATACCATTTGTAACAACCCATGTTCGTATTTTGGATTTCACACCTAATGACCTCGACATTCCCTCGTATCCCCCTGGGACATACTCGGGGTTACCTACTTCTCGTTTCTTAAGAGTAAAAACTATCTCCAAAGACGAACACGAGTTGTTCCAGCATATTTTGTCCCACCTCACATGAATCTCAATAAAATTCCTAAAATATAATAAAACATAGAATTGTTCCAATTAAAACACGTCTAACCATAAAATTTCTATGATCGAGTTATCAAAAAATAACGTTCATATTTTTTTGTATAGATAATGACTTAATTATTTTTAGCATTTATTAGATATCCTATTATCAAGATTCTCTCATATATGATCCCGGTTCATTTATTCAGGTGTCTCATTTACTCCGGATTGATTAATTATTAGCAGCAAAAATTTAAAATAAATAAATAAACATATTTGTAAAAATATATACTTTATAAATATTTAAAAATGTAAATTTAAATAAACGCATATAAATGTTTAGAGTAACAAACAAAATTTCCGAAATATACACCCGCCTTTTTAAGAAAATAAAAATAAAAAAACGGTCCCATTTATCACATTCGCAAGCAAATTATAACCATATCCCACCCACGTGAAACTCACGTGAAATATCAAATCCTAAGTAAAGAATCAAATCATACAACTCACATTCATCAAAAGAATTGAAAGGTTATAGAAAATTAGAATAAATAAATAAATAAATAAATAAATAAACAAATTTGAATAATAATTGAGTGTCTGGTAGAGTGACATTGTAACTTTTGCTCAAAGCCTTCGACGAAAAGACAATGTTTTCCTCATTTTTAGGCCCCTTCACGTGACATTCAAATTTTAATTAAAATTAAAAATAAATACAACCCCTAAAGTCATGTTTAATATATAATAATTTGTATTCATAAAATATTTTAAAATATAATTTTAATAAAAGAAAATAGTTTAATAATTATACCATAGAAGATTAAATATTAAAGGAATATAATTTTTTTAATTAATATATCTTAATTTGATTTATAGATTTGTAAATATTATTTTAAAAAAATCGACTTTTAAAACATCACTCCACAAATTATGGTAAGAAATGATGACAACTTAAATAATTAAAGATAATGTTTGAATTAAAATATTTACAAAATTGAATTGTTATAGGACCAAATTGAAATAAATAATTAAATATTTAATGAGGATTACGTGTAAATTATAATATTTAAACCATTAAATAGTTATAATTTATAAAGTACCGACAATTAAATATATTTTGACGATGGTGCTTTGTCGTCCTAAATGCTCCCTAAATTCAAGGGTCACTGCCTAGAGAAACTCCAAGTGGAATCTCTCCACGTGGCATTTATTAAAAATATAAATATTTTATATGGGCTAAATACTTGGCCCATTAGTTAACCACAATTGGGCCTCGATTTGTGCGTGAATATTTGGGCTTTTAGAAGGTTTATAATGGGCCCAATTTTAGTGATGTGAAGCCCACCGATATTACAATTTTTGGCTTTCCCTCGGACGCTTTCCCACACCTATAAAAAAAATATTTATTTCCGTGTTCAATTGATATGAGATTTCACAATGGACACGTTACCTATTCTAATAAGAGTGAAGACTATTTTTCAAACACTAACACAGAGTCATTTATTTATAGTCTACATCTTACTGGGATATGTACCGCTCTGATACTATTTGTAACGACTTATGCTCGAGATTCAAAATTCGAATTCATTATCTTTAAGAGGGAAAACAATTCCCACATACCAACATGAGTCGCTTAACCATGAAATTTTTATGATTGAGCTACCGAAAAAGGAAGGTATGCTTAGTTGGCGCCTTGATAATAAATTTTAATCCTAATTTATCAAATAGAGATTCTAAAAAAATTTCAAAAAAAAAAAACTGAAAAACTGTTGTAAGCGCTAAAATAATTAAAATATAGGTTGAAAAACCCTCGTCCTAGATTAGGGTGTAAGAATTGGCGCCTTGAGCTGAATAATTTGTTCTTCGTCATCGGGAATCAGAGCAACTGAAGCAGAATGGCAACAGTTGCTGCTTCAAGAATTGGAATGGTGCTTCCTCGGCCGGTGACATTTGTGACCGGCAACGCCAAGAAGCTCGAGGAAGTTCGAGCAATCTTGGGCAACTCCGTTCCTTTTCGGTCTCTCAAGCTTGATTGTATACTCGCGCTCTCTCTTTCTCTCTTACTTTATCCTAGTTTTTTGATCTTTTGAGCATTTTTTTATTGTTGTTGGGTTATTATAATCAGTGCCGGAGTTGCAAGGCGAACCAGAAGATATATCGAAAGAGAAAGCTCGATTGGCAGCTATTCAGGTGCACTTTCTTTTACATTTTCGTCATTCGATTAAGAATCACTCTTCAGATGAATCAAAACAAAAGAGAGGAGTTATTTTATCTTTTTTGACTGATTTGGAGTTGCCGGATTTGATAAATGGAAGGTTAACGGGCCGGTTCTTGTGGAAGATACATGCCTCTGCTTTAATGCTTTGAAGGGTCTACCAGGTATTCAGTGTTTTTCATTTTTGAAAATCTCTTCCCCTTCCAAGCGTATATGTTCAAATCATTAACATGTTTATCTCTCTTTTTCAGGGCCATACATGTAAGTTGCTTCATTATCAATGCCCCTTCTGAGGTGAAGCTTTATTTCTTATTCACATGTTACTTGAACCATATCTATGTTGTCATTATATATATAGATATATATATATATATATAAAGAAAGTTATAGAAGAATTCAACAATTGAAGGATTCAAGGGAGAAAAGGGCCTTTCTCTGTCCAAGGATGGCACATCCCGGAAGAACTAGAATTTGATTCCCCTAATTACTCAAATAATATTGTTTTCCCTCTGTACAAATTTATCTCTACTTCTTTTTCTCCATTTCTAATTCAACAAAACTCATTGAGACCTATCCAAGTGTGTTTTCGCATGCATCTCAGCTGAGTTTGCAGAAGACGTGTATTAAGTTTTTAATCATCTGGTGGCTTTAATTGTGCAGCAAGTGGTTCCTGGAGAAGATTGGTCATGAAGGTCGTACTTGTCTTCATACTAGCTTTTCCCTTCACCATTTTTCTTTTATTTAGTGGCAGTGATATACGCTGGTCATTGCAACCAAGTGTCGCTTACGTCTCTCTTTTTCAGGTCTGAACAACTTGTTGGTGGCATATGAGGACAAGTCAGCATATGCTTCTTGCATCTTTTCATTTTCTCTTGGGCCTGAAGCTGAACCCATCACATTTGTGGGCAATACTCCGGTATGAAATTCTACAGTTTCCCACTTAGCAGTATTAGCTGTATTATCTCAATTCAAACTAATTTCACAAGTTTGGATATTTTATTCTAAGTTTAATCTTTGAATTACTTCAAATGACTTCTTTCTTTTGCTGGAAAGCATATCCTTTTTAGATGGGGGCCTACTCTATACCCTTTAGTATGTCAAATTGACAGGCCCCATATATTGAAAGGAAATGCTCTATTGAAATTGCCTGTAAAAGATGAAAATTACGTATCCCCATTTGAGAGGCTTTGTTCTCTCCCAATGCCCATGTTAAAATACATTTCCTCTATAATTCCCTCACCGGAGTCTCCCTCTTCTTTCTTTCTCTCTTTAAATACAATGTTTAGAAGTTGAATTTTGTAGACATATAGTAATTTACTTGACCAAAAGAAGAACCTCGACCTTCTACATGAGATTTCAATGTTGGATTCTTAAGATGAGTTGATAGGTCATATTGGATGAGTTGATAGGTCATATTGGGCTCAAGTTATTTGTACAAGATCTCTTAGGACATGTTAGAGAGTGATTTTGTGAATTACATCCGTCATGATCAAATCCCTCCAAAACATACTTTTAATGATTCAAAATCAATTTGATGTTTGTTTTACATTTTTAAACATTATTTTCATAAAATCAAAATTGATTCTGAATGATTAAAGACATGTTTTGGAATGATTTTGAACCTGACAAAAAAATGATTTAGCAATTTCAAAATCACTCCCTAATATGCCTTTAGTTTCTTACCGTATGACAGAAGAAACCTTGTGGAGATAAATCTAAATGCTAATGGAAAAAGGAGGAAAATGATAATGCCTCTTCTTTCATCAAATCAATTATCATCATCAAGAGGAGAGAGATTTAATATGAATATCATAAGTTGTCACTAGGAAGCATTAGTTTAGTTAATGAGAATGAAATAGAAGTTTTCATTCCCCATGTCGAAAAACTTGACACTAATATGAAGTAGTG